GGCCGGGACTACATGCAAGTTTGAATTCACTATGAACCAAGATACAAGTGATTTTGTTAAACAAGTTATTAACTAAAAAACGTCTATTTCAGTTTGATAACGCTTGATAATCGCAAGCGTAACAAGTAAACATGGGTTATAATTCCTAATTATGATTAGGTGGCTCGTAAATTGCAAGAAAATTCCCATATCAAGAAATCCACTTAGATAGATTGTGACTTAGTTATAGATTCAGGCGCAACTTGCAGTATGAAAAAGGATAAGATTCTTTTTTTTGAGCTGCACGAGTTTTAGCGAGATTGTTGAAAACGCTAAAAAAACGGAGTCTAATGTTTCAAGTTAGAGTTGAGTTGGCTGTGAGAGATTCTAAAGGAAATTTAAGAAAAGTTTCAATGAGTGATTGTTTCCATGTACCAGAAAAATCAGAAAATTTAGTGTCTGTCTCAAACTTATTAGAAGAGGAGCTAGAAATATTTTTTTGAGAAAACTCATGTATTGACCAAGGAAATGGGACCGTTTATCCTCTAAGTGAGCGAGGAAATCGTTTTATGTGGAAAATAATAGGATTTAGAAATCACGAAAAATGAAGCGATGATAAAATGGAAAACAATTCTTCAGAATTCAGATTCAATGAAAATAATTTTTGCAGAGAGACAGAAGAGAAGATTGAGAACTTCACAGAGCAAAATGAGAACTTGATGATAAATGGCGATGATGAAATGAAAAGCGTTGAGCTGAAAAATGAGTCTAGAGCACATCCAAAAACTAAAACGTCATTAGATGAACGAGGTAAGGAGGAGTCACGAAACTTATGCGAGGTTAAGAAGTTTCAGAGTATGGACATAGAGTTAGGTTCAAAGATAGTGGAAAGTAGGAAGTTGATGATGCAATTCTTATTTTGAAAGAAGGAGTGTTAAGTTTCGGAGAAATGACTTCTCACTTTATAGAGAAGTCTTTTTCCACTTTTTTGTTCAAAATAAGAACATGATTGGATATCGCACGATGTCATGCGATATCATATCACGTGATCAGAACTCAACAGGCGGTTAACTTTCTTTATATATAGAGGTTGATTTTCTATTCTTATCGCTCTCTAATTAAACTGTTGATTATATCTAGTTTTGCTGCCAACCTGTGATCGGTTATGGGCCCAGCTGCCAAAACACGTGCCAAAAGTCTAGATTGAATGACTTAACAAAAAATTTTGAGAGAGCAAGCTGTAAATTTGTGACCCGAAGTCACACCAAGACAACCGAGGAAAAAGTCACAAAGAAGATAGTGAAGTGGCAGATAGACAACAGAGCAAAACGAGGAGTCATTGAGACAGGGCATTGAGACAATTCAAGGATCAGTGAAGACAGTCACAAGGAAAGCCGAAAGAAGCACACGAGAGAAAGAGATACACACACACAGAGAGAGAGAGAGAGAGAGAGAGGGAGATAGAGAGGGAGAGAGAGAGAGAGAGAGAAACAGTGATAGATAGAAACTGACCAACTGGTCAATTTGATAAACTCAATTGATGTGGTGTTTTACAAATTTGTAGATTTTGTAGATTTTTATGTTGCTTGGAGGGATCGTAATCCGTCGCTGCGAGATCTGAACTCGAACCTGATTTAAAGAATAGAAGTTCCACAATAGAAAAAGACTCCAAAATTTCTATTTTGCTAATATATATTGCTATTTATGAAGTCTGTGAAGTAACCTTAGCTTTGCTAAATCGCTGATGTGTTATTCAGTATGCTTACCGTTAGGCTTCGGATCAGACTTAGGTAATGAGATACATGCTTACGTATATTATGCGCCGCGATATGTTTGCGGATATAATATAGACTGAATTTTTGTCATTGAAAAGTACGTGGAACATAAGATATTTGTTCAGAGCAATACGGTTTAGGTTAAAAATGACTCAGTCAGAGAAAAATGTTTTCAGGAAAAGAATATTTTTTGTACTTTGCTGAGCAATTTGAGGCTAGATTTTTTTTCTCTTAGATAGATTTTCATCCAGTGTTAGGAAAAATGCTACTGTAGAACAGAGAGAGGCATCTTTAAGAAAAGGGAGAGAAATTTAGGTGAAAAATAATTGCATGTTTGATATGAGTTGATACAATGTTTAGACAAAAAATCTCTTTGGTTTTGGAGACCCTATAGAGGCAAGGGAAGCAAGGCTTGGGAAATTTGTGCACAAGTTTCAAAAGCGCCGAGAGACCGAGACTGCAGCAATTGATTTCAGACTTAACTTCGATAAGAATGAAAGGTAATGAGAGTGAAGTCGATTATATCCCTAGAGGTGAAGAGTTGCAGTATAATTTAGATGCAGCAGGCGAGGATTTAAGTGAAAAGATGTTTGTGTCAATCATTCTCGAAGGCCTATTAAAAGAGTTCAATACGTTTTGTACTTTGGTTAAGTTTAGCATAGATGATAAGTGTTTAAACGAAATTAAGAAAGACTTGTTAAACTTTGAAAGTAATCATAGGAATGAGAAGGAGGCGACTGAACATTCGTTTATTTTCGAACAAAAACATGTTTTAGGTGCAATAAGACAGGACACATAGCAGCTCATTGTAGATCTTAGCTATTGAAAAAGGTTAACCAATCATCTGGTGATAGACCTCCAGTGAAATGTTTCAGGTGCTTAGAAATAGGACACATAGCAAGGGATTGTAAGAAGGACTTGTAAGAAGAGAAAAGCGCGGGAGAAGCGCAGCAGTTAGCTGAAACAAATGAAACTTATATTAGCTATTACAACTCAGCCGATAGAGTCGATGTTGACTTAGTTATAGATTCAGGCGCAACTTGCAGTATGATGAAGGATAGAGGTTTTTTCGTTGAGTTGGACTGTTGAAAACGCTAACAAAACGGAGTCTAATGTTTTAAGGAACCGGTGAGTTTACTGAGATATTTTCAAGAAAATTTGAAAAAAAGTTTCAATGAACGATTGTTTCCATGTAGCAGAAAAATCAGAAAATTTATTGTCAGTCTCAAAACTTAGAAGAGGAGCTAGAGTAATTTTTGGAAAAAAATTACGTATTGATCAAGAAAATGAGACTATTTATCCTCTAAGTGAGCGAGAAAACCGTTTTATTTGAAAAATAATAGGATTTAGAAATCACGAAAAATGAAGTGTTGATAAAATGGAAAACATTTCTTCCAGAGTTCAGATTCAATATAACGTATTTTTGCAGAGAGACAGGAGAGAAATAGAGAACTTTAAAGAGCAAAATGAGAATTTGATGACAAATGACGATGACAAAATGAAAGAGGTTGAGCTGAAAAATGAGTCTAGAGCCCATGCAAAAACTAAAAAGTCATTAGATGAACGAGGTAAGGAGGAGTCAAGAAACTTATGCGAGGCTAAGAAGTCTCAGAGTATGGACATTAAGTTAGGTTCAAAGAAATTGAAGACTAGGAAGTTTGAAAGCAGTGCAAGCAAATTGATCAGGATACTTGAGCTAGGACAGACTGATACTGCTCTCAACAAATATCGTATGGGAAAACTGAATCTCAAGAATAGTGTAGACTGTGACATTCGACCAGAATGTGAAAAATGCAATCTCTGCAGAATTCGAATTTTTAGCAGCGAGCCTTCCGGATTGGTGATTATTAAGAATTAAGAGCGTTATTGGAACGATTGGCCAAACGGTGAGGACTGGAATATTCTGGTATTTTAAAATTTCAAAAATTCGAATTATGACGTCATATTTCTGAGAAACGTCAGAAACGGCCGATTTGGCTAAAACAAGAAAGAAAAATAGAACAACATTAGCTGCGCTAACAACAACTACGAAATCGAGATTGGAAAACGACAACGAGTTACAGAGAACACTCCGAGTTGCAACATTTGTGCCGCTACAATAGTTGCAAGGCCGTTGCGAACAACGGTGAAGGGTGAAAGACGGCCTTCCGGATTAAGAAGAAATCAGGATTAACAAGCTTGATCCAGCGGATTTGTCAATCCGGAGGGGTAAAGGAACTGAAACTTTGATCCTGTTACATAAACTTTTAGCTTCCTGTCATGTCCTGACTTGAATTTAATTAACATCTAGATTCATTTTGATAAGGATGAGAAGCTAGGAGTTGGGGGAAAGGGTTGATCCATCTTCGATGGAGATGATGATTTTTATCTACTGAACAAAAACAATAGTAATAAAATAAGTAGTAGCCCTGTTTTTAGGAGTGACCTCGTGGTCTGGGGATACTGAGACCCAGCCATGAGCTCACTATTTCTGCATGTAATCTAGTTAATTTGAGTGTTTTGACCGAAGCCGAAAGCAGTAACGTTTTTGTCGACCCGATGTTAGAAAGACCACCGAAAAGTACTGGCTTGGTAGAGACGGTGAAAAGCATGCAAAGCTCTGTTTAGACGTTAGCCAGTCGTCTTAAGACTTAGTTTTGTCTTCCGTCGATATGTATCTTCCGGGCGAATGTTACAGACTTATTTTGAAAGGAGGAGTGTTAAGTTTTGGAGAAATGACTTCTCACTTTATAGAGAAGTCTTTTTCCACTTTTTGTTAAATAAGAACATGATTGGATATCGCACATGTCACGCGATGTCATATCACGAGATCAGATCTCAACAGGCGGTTAACTTTCCGTATATATAGAAGTTGATTTACTAGTCTTTTATCGCTCTCTTATTAAACAGTTGATTATACCTAGTTTTGTTGCCAACCTGTGATACGCATAACCTCATGTTTTCATAAGCCTTTTGCCGAAAGGCTAGGACAAATACAGCAGATCATTCAAGAAAAACCGAGTAAAACGTCTAACGAAGCTAACATTCGTAGAAAACCAGAAAAAAAATTTGAAAATATATATTTTTTCAAATAGGCTCGGGAAAATTTGATGTGAAGCTTTCATAACTAATATTAGAGTTAAACCAATACCAATGGATACGACCGAAAACTTTTTTAAAAGGCAAAATGAATAAGCCAACAATGAAGCCGACGCCCAGTCAGCTGAAAAAGTGGCTTGTAATGTTTTAATTGAGTTAAAAAAATAATTAAAAAATTCATTAATTATCATGGATTCGCTGGCTCTACTTTAACATCAACTTGTGAACGCAGTTCATAAATCTTATCTGCAATTTGGATGAACTGCTCATTTGCTTCACAAGCTTTTATCCAAGCTGGAGGAATCTGATCAGGTTCTGATCCATAATAAGCACCGCAAATAGCCCCGCACATTGAAGCTATTGTGTCCGTATCGCCTCCCATCGCAATACAATGCAAAATAGAATTGCACAAAGGTGGTAACTGCTCTTTTGTTCCGGTCACACCATTTTCCACTGTTATTGGCTGGTGAAGAGTAAACAAAAACATGAAAATGGCCAGAGGAACAGATCGGTGCGCCGAAATTTCATTGCCAAGCTCAGTTCTAAGTGTCGCCATTTTCGTGGCGTCTAACGCATGGCCCTCAAATTTGAGTACCAGATGCTTGATAGTTTCAAGGATGTTCAAATAATAGCACACAAATGAATCAGTTCTTGTTTTAACGGAGTCTTCAGTTTCAACCAACTTCATTTGATCGATTAACAAATCGAGAAACTTCACTTTATCCAAATCTTTGACACCATTTTGATTCAGAGCACACTTCACCGCAACCGCTTGCAAAACTGAACCATGAATTCCTAAGATGTGAGCATGGGTTAATTTTGCTTGCATGGCGGCATAATGTCTACAATCTTCAAACGATTGAGAAAACAGGGCTACAGGACTGACCCTCATCGCAGCCCCATTTCCATAGCTTCCAGTGCCATCAAACATTAATGAGGCTTCAAAAAAAGGATCCTCTTGTTTATTAGACAAAAGCTGTGGCAATAACTCGGAAGCTCCAGCTCCATAGCCGCGGTCGGGATTTCGATTGAAATGCTCACGAAATGATTTTGCAATATTTACACAGTCTGGTTGTGAAGAAAATTTCGATTCAATCAATGCCTCAGACAAAGCCAGTGTGAGTGCTGAGTCATCACTGTAAGGTAAGACTGTAGACAAAGATTGGAATCTGAATAAGTGTTTATTAAGCACAGAAAAGGGCACTTTTGCGGACCCTTCAAAATTTAGACCGACACAATCGCCAAGCAAGGCTCCTAACAAAGTTCCCCGGAAACTTGACCGCAAGAATTCCATCTATTCGGCAAAATATTTGAGTTCTCTTAGATCACCCGAGCTAACGCACAACACAGCAACTCAAGAAACAATTTCAATGTCGCAAGCTCGAAGAAAAACTCTTACGCAACTCAACATCAGTGCTATACATGATCCTGAAAATACAAACGTATCCGCACAATTACTGTCTCAAACCGGGCCTGTTTATTCCCTGGCGCGTCATCGAGCGGAATACCCGAAAAAATGAATCCATTCCAGGATAGCCGAAAACAAAATGTTACCGGAGAGCAGAAAATTTTTTTTATTCACGGTTCTTTGTTTTCTTTTTTTTTGTGCCAGTCGGTCATATTTGGAAGTTTGACCTTGAGGAATACGAACTACGCAATTTTGGGAGAAAAATTAATTTTTCAAAAATTCGAATTGAGCCTGTCATGCTCAACTTTCTCGCGAAAACTGAAAATCTCAGAAATAGAATATCAGAACAACCGATTTACAATCGCGGGAAAGTACTTGAAAAAGCAGCGCGAAATTTCTATTCGCAATTTCCAGATACAAAATAAACGCGAGTAGAGCCGTCCTATCCTGAAATAGGAGAAGGAGTGATTACAGAAGGAAAATACATTTAGTCGAGTTGAACTAGAGTGAACCCTCAGTGGAAAGGTGGACAGCTGGGGTCTCCCAATGGTTCAGACAAAAATTTCAATTCTTGAATCAAAACTTGTTTCCCTTGTTGAAATTATTTAGTAACAAACTTCTCAAGTTATCATACTTAATTCTCAAGTTGCTTACTGATTTAGTTACTCCAATTCTTGAGTGTGCTGGTATGTGAGTACCCAATTTAGTTTTCTTGCGTGTGTTTTATGATTGTTATTTTGAGGTAAGGAGAGGTTTAGGTTGATCCATCTGTAATGGATCAAAGTTCCACTGTCTAATAAAAAGTAACTGTGCGGATTATTCCGACCATGTTTTAATGGCGTTCGTGTATTTTGAGACCTAAGTATGGGGACGTTCTTATTTTCTAGAGTGGGGGGTAATTTGGTAGTGGCCTTTAAGCTGTAACGGGTTTTTAGTCTCAAGTCGCAAGCGAACCGATTTGGCTCCGACCGTTTTGAGGTAGAAAAACACAAGAGATAGTGTCCCAGACTCATGAGCCAATGGTTATAGGGCCTATTCTTCTTAAGCCTCATATGTGACCGAAGTAGGCGACATCATGAGTACGGAGTCGAACCCACTTGACGCAGCCCCGGGCTATATGCCCATTCTAGAGTACCGGTGGTACGGTTCAGCGGGAACGTGTAAACCTTCCGGTTGTGCCATGATAGCTTTTTAAGAAAACTTGAGAAAACTTCCTGGTACGCTCTCCGAACGAGGCTTAGCTAATTGAGTAAGGGGAGTAACTAGGGGGACGAAAAAACGAGCAAAAGACAAAAAGCGAAACAAAAACCAAAAAAGAACAGAAAAAGGAACAAAAACTATAAAACAAAAAAATGACAATGACTTTGACACCAAATTAGTTGGATCAAACCTTTATAGTAATTAAAAAGTATACTCATACTGTTTTTGATAAGACCGATCGTTTCGATCATTTCAGCGATCTAAAAATGTGCCCGAGTGTGGGGCGTTGTGAAGGGTTTTCAGATAGCTTGCAACTTAGCTGGACCATTAGGAGACGTGACTGGAGCAGGTGATCAGTCGAGTGGGAAAGTGGTTCACAGGGACTTAGCTGGACCATTAGGAGACTTGACTGGAACAGAGGACCAGTCAAGTGGGAAAGTGGTTCACAGGGACTTAGCTGGACCATTAGGAGACTTGACTGGAACAGGTGACCAGCCAAGTGGAAAAGTGGTACTTGTGATCAGGTGCAGGACAAGTCAAGGAAACAACCAACACGGAATCAGAGCAACAGGAGAGGACGGGAGTGTTCTCAAGCTGGTCAAACGGGTATCGTTAAAATCCACATTACATTATAGGAGATAAGTGTAAAGTTGGATAAGCGGAACCCCACTGTTTTGAGGAACGTTTTTACTCAAGCAGGGCTGGAAACAGGTTCTACGGTTTTCTCTCGAGAGGTTTAGCACCCGGCGCTTAAGGTAATTTTCGGCTTAAGAGGGGGACTAAAGAGGGGGAGGTTAGAAGGGGCGCTGGTACGTTTAGAGGTTGGGGTTGTAAATTGTAAAAAGGGGGGACAGATTAGAGTAACTAATTAATCGGCATCGTCGATTTAGTTACATTAGATTTTTACACGCGTTGAATATAAGAAGCGGATATACAAATTTAACATCGAATTAAGGTAGGTACCCTGGTCGGATTGGGAGGGGGGAACGGACATAGACAGTTTTTGTGATACCTCATAAGATCGCTAGCTGGGGGGAGGAGAACGCGTGGCAATCAGGTACCAGACATTTTTTTTGTTGTTGTTCAGATAAAGGGTTGACACAAGTCACCTTTGAATTTTAGGTGGGTTTATTTCTCTGTTTTTATCATTATTATTTTTTCTCTGTTCAAATTTTGACAATTTTGGTAAAAATTTTTTAATCGGTTTTGGACAAACAGGTGATCACAAGACACCTCGAACAAGTTGGGTTTCAACTTGCATCAAAATAATAAAAGAGAAGTATATACAAGGGGGTTGGTAATTCTAACTTTTGGCCAGTAAGATTGGGTTTTTTGGGACAGGCAGTCTTGGGACAGGCAGTCTTGGGACAGGCAGTCTTGGGACAGGCAGTCTTGGGACAGGCAGTCTTGGGACAGGCAGTCTTGGGACAGGCAGTCTTGGGACAGGCAGTCTTGGGACAGGCAGTCTTGGGACAGGCAGTCTTGGGACAGGCAGTCTTGGGACAGGCAGTCTTGGGACAGGCAGTCTTGGGACAGGCAGTCTTGGGACAGGCAGTCTTGGGACAGGCAGTCTTGGGACAGGGCAGTCTTGGGATAGGGCAGTCTTGGGACACGGCAGTCTTAGGACAGGGCAGTCTTGGGACACGGCAGTCTTAGGACAGGGCAGTCTTGGGACAGGCAGTCTTGGGACAGGCAGTCTTGGGACAGGCAGTCTTGGGACAGGCAGTCTTGGGACAGGCAGTCTTGGGACAGGCAGTCTTGGGACAGGCAGTCTTGGGACAGGCAGTCTTGGGACAGGCAGTCTTGGGACAGGGCAGTCTTGGGATAGGGCAGTCTTGGGACAGGCAGTCTTGTGACAGGGCAGTCCTGGGACAGGGCAGTCTTGGGACAGGGCAGTCTTAGGACAGGGCAGTCTTGGGACAGGGCAGTCTTGGGACAGGGCAGTCTTGGGACAGCTTCAGAAAGTCTTGGGACAGTACCTAGAAGCCTTGGGACAGTACCTAGAAGTCTTGGGACAGTACCTAGAAGTCTTGGGACAGCACCTAGAAGTCTTGGGACAGTACCTAGAAGTCTTGGGACAGTACCTAAAAGTCTTGGGACAGTACCTAGAAGTCTTGGGACAGCACCAGGGAAGTCTTGGGACAGTACATAGAAGTGTTGGGACAGTACCGGGAGGCCTTGGGACGGTACAAAAAAGTGGTGTGAAGGTACTAAAGGGTCTTAAGACAGGTCGAAATAACTAAATCAAAAGCGATAGGACTATTCGGAACGTTAAATCGCGATAGATCCAATTCTGGTGGGACCACGAACTGGTAAATTTTTATATATCTTAAAAGGGAATAGGAACGTTGTTTTTTATTATAATATTTATTATCAAAAATTTTATCCTTAGATTAGGATTTTGTAAATAGCAATTTTGTGAATAGAAAAAAATGTAAATAAAAATCATGAGACAGAGCAGGGTACCGATTGCTGAAAAAAGAGCTACGGAGTCAAAAACAAAACATAACTCGTCGCAACAAAAAGTGACAACGGTTGGCACAAGAATAACAAGGAAGAACTTTTCAGTGAGCATGGTCAACACAAGAAGTTCAAAAGAAAACAAGACGAAAAAGGGCGCTGAATGGAAACAAACGGAACCCGCCATTGAGATTGACCTAGAAACACCAGATCAGAGTGTTGATGAGGTGGAGAAGAAGACAACACCGATGCCGAATGCAGAGGAACAAAATCAAAAGTCGATGGAATTCTCACCGATAGACACTGTGGAGGACACGACGGGCAACACGCCAGAAACAGTAAAGGACGAGTCTCAAGCAAAAAGAACGTCATTCACAGAGAGGATAGCGATGATGGTTGGAATGAAGTCGAGAGACGTAGTGAGGGAAGAACCGAAAGCCGAGAAAGGCAAAACAGTTGGAACAGTTTCCACGATAACAACAGAGGCCAACCAAGACGATGGCCAGGTTAAACAGGGGCAGCTGACCATGAAACAACAACTCCTCTTGAACTGGGCGATTTGATGGCGAAGCTAGACCAGGTCGACAAGAAACTAAAGCACATCGAGGAGGATAGAGAGGTGATAAAGAAAGAGTTAAGATACAACAAACAAGAGTACCTGGACAACTATTTCAATCTGGCGTGGGCGACAGAAGAAAAGCTTCAGCAGATGTCAGACAAGGTAGAGGCCACTGACGGAGAGCGAGATAAGAACATCAAAAAAGACATGCAAGAGATGAAGCAACGGTATGACGTTGTGAACTGCCAGTTGGGGAGTCTGGAAACGAGAATGGACACAATGAGAAGGGACCAGGCTGAGAGTTCATGTGCCATACAGGCAAAACAAGATGCCATCTTGAGAAACTCTACATCACAAGACAGGCCGGCAACGGATCGAACGCAAGGTAACAGAGTTGATTTCGTGGAACCACAACGGAACAAACAGCAGTCAACACCGTTAGCATTACCCCGGGATGCAGCGAGCACAGCACCGGGGGGCCAAGACAATTATGAAAATTGGAACCGCGAATACGACAAATAGTCCAGGTGATTCCACGACCTACAATAATGCGGGACCGGATGCCATGACTTGGGGTAGCACCTGGGAAATGATGAATAGAATATTGGAAGCGTTCGCTACGAGAAACACTGATTCGAGTGAGAGAGGAGGTGGTGAATCCAGGAAAACCTTCAAGAAGCCAAAAGAATTTAAGGATGACTCAGACGGATGCATCGATACTTCGGTAGAAGTCATGAGACTACATTTGGAACAGGACAACTTGAAAGACGAGAGACAAGCCTGCACAGCGATACTCA